AAGCTTGGCCTTGGGTGGTTTCAAAAGATGCGGGGGGTGGAAGACTTAGGCGTAATCACTTCATCGGAAAGGAAAGAGTGGTGTGCTGTCTTTTAAGCCTGAGCTAAAACGTCTCCTCGTATACAATATATCCAGCCCAGAGGTAGCGACAGGATGGGCAGATAGTTGCAGTGAAATTTTGTGATATTTTCTCTGTCTCCCGCAGCACCTATCTCCTAGACGCGGAGGAAGATGTTGGCTTCTTTATCTAGGAACCCCTGAGAGTATGATAAATCGCTTGAGCCCAGACACACCTCTACTGGGAGAACGAGCAGGTAGCAGTGCAGGAAACAAGGCGCAGATATTGTCTCCCCTACCACAGCTAAGGCTATAATGAAGCTTGCACAAAGTAGACAGGAGAGTGCCGACCTGATAAACAATTCTATATCAAGTCTTTCACAGAGAGCAAGATAGCGAGGATCAGTCATGCCGCTGCATATCAGTACTGAACTCAGCACTCCTGAGATTAGTCCTCAGCCCCTCCTCTCATCAACCCCCCGTCACCTGGTTGAAAGTGATTTCACATCCAGCAAAGGCATCACCATGGACAAACACAATGCATTAGAAATCAGAGGCAGCTTATAGTTTACCTACAAGTAGAAATCCTTTAACGGAGATAGAGGAACGATATCAGCACCTATAACTGCAGTAAGAAGATTGGATAAACTGGTTTCAAAATAAATTTATGAATGAACGAGGTTTGAAGATTTAAAATTTTACATAATTGTTTCAATATTTGCATGTAAATACAGTATGTGTCAAAGTAAAGTACTATTGCCATAAAAAAACACAAAATAATAAAACTGCATTGAAAATAACGTAATTGTGATGTGTTTTTGGTATGCAGGGAATAATTGGTTAAGGGACACAGCAGAGTCTAATCTGAGAATGTGTGCAACCATATGACTCATAATTAGCTATTTAGCATCTGCATGGGGACAGRATCCAGAATAGTTGTTATTAAATTGATTTTTAGGGAAATGACAAGGTTGATACAAAGTTATGAAGTTGTCACGTTGCCTCTGTTGGAGATTTGTGAATGATAAACTGGATTTTTGATGAACATCTATATTTTTGTACTTTGGGATCAATTGTAACCATTTAAACAGAAAATCAACAAGTCTTTATTTAGTTTTAGTGTTTGTTTCTATAACTTACTTCCTTGTTTACTGTCATTATATCTGGAGTGGGATTTAACTCTGGGATAATGGTTTTTTTTTTTGTTATGTGTGATTCAGCCCAATTTGCTGAGTCTCCAGAGTCAGGGTGGAGATTTCAGGAAGTGGACCAGATCTGAGTTTTGCTTGGTAACTTTGCATGTCTGTGAATAAATATTCAAGTCTGAGAACTGAATCGATCTCCTGCACATAGTTTATCTCTCATTTTGATCCCAGTTAATGTTTGTTTCACTGATCACCAGCTGGATATCTCCAGCACTATACAGTACCTGCTCTGCTCAGCTCATCACGTCCCACTTCTTATATTAAATAATTAATCCTTAAAATCATCCCTAAATTCTACCCAATCCCTGAAGCAGGACTCAATATGTGAGTTTTTTCCCTGCTGAGACAGGGTTAATAACAGTAGTGACATAGCAAATCAAAGCTGTAGCTAACAGCAAGTGATCAGGACCAACTTAGACCTGAAACACAGCAGGGTTATGTGCTGTTGAGTGCATAAAAGCATCAGTGTCCCCGCATGTTCAGCCCTGTTCACAGAGCTTAACTCCAAAATTTGGTAAGTTGCTGCAGAAAAATAACAAAAAGCTGCAGGAGTAGAGGCTAGGCCAAGTGAAAGTTTTAAAAAGTAGGCCCAAAGTAATGATAGCATTACTAAGTTAAGCACTGACTAGCAATGAAATGAGCAACTGGTGCAAAGTGACTTTATTTGTAAAGTTGTTCTGCAGATGTGCTAAGAATTGAAAAATGTGTTTGATTTATGTGGCTGATAAAAACATCCTCAGGGGATGGTTAAAAAAACCCTTTCATTAAACATTACACTGCTCTACATTCATTTCTTCAGTTGTAAATGTTGTAAAACCCACTAGTTCCATGTTAGCTAAACTTATTTTTCATGATCCTCACTGTTAAAATAATATAATKTTAATGGTTAGCCATTCAGATAGCATCACCATAAAAACCTCTAAAAATCTGTGAAAATTGTGGCAAACACAAAGTTTCTTGAATAAACTGAATTACTACAAGGAACCACAGACTGAAATAAACAAAACAAACAAACAAACAATAAAAAAGGAAAAATAAATCTTTGCTGTATTGTATTTATTAAGTAAACCACAACTTGTGCAGTGGTCTACCATGAAACACTGCTTGATGTAGTYTGATAATCATTAAAATAACTCGTATAAAAACTGTATGGTATTCTGTCTGATTTGTAAGATTGGAAACCCAATCTTTRGTACCAAAACACAATCACCACCTGAACATCCATTCACATAAAACTATTAGAGCCTAATAGGCAACAAATGTAAAGGCAACATRAACTGTTAGTTCATGAACAAATTAAAATGATCAGCCTTTTTTCTCCACATAAGTAGAAAACAATTTGCACCTAGAGAATTTGCATTTCTGGCAAAAACGCTTTGTGAATGCTTAATGCTGAAAGATGTTTGCTGAATAGCTAAAAAAGCTGAAACTAGCCTAAAAATATCTTTAATAAAGTAGCTGAAATTATCGCATGGAAACATAAAGAGCACATTAGCGGAATTAAGCAGTAAGAAGCTGCAATTTTCACAAAAGTTATAATTAGCTGAAAAAAAGCTTAAATGAGCTAAAAAGTAGCTGAAAATGCAGAAATTAGCTGAAAACAACCAAAAGCAACTTAAAGAAGCATACAAAGAAAGAAGAACAAAAACTTGAATTAAGCAGAAGAACAGCAGAAAAGATCAGAATGATTGCTTTAAAAGCAAWRARAGCTAAAATCAGCMAAATATAAGCCAAAAGAAGCTGAAATGCATACAAAGCAGAACCAGAACTAAAGATACATTTTCAAGGATGTTGACGACAGCTCCATTTATATTCAATGAGAAAATAATGGCAGAAAACATTTAATAAAACTAAAAATTGCTAACGAACCATAAATCACAACAGTAATGTCCTGAAGGAGCTGAACATATTGATATAAAWATAGTTGAAATAGAACAAATTGCAGAATAGTATACAGTATATAGATAAGTGCCCTTCTGATTTGAATGAGACATTTTGCTGTGCTAATCTTATGTTTTGTGTCCATTAAACAAACTCATGCAGTAGCTTTCACATTTGTTGTTGTGAGGAGGGAATTATGCAAACACTAATCTGTTTCAGAGACCGTCTGTCAGATGGCTTGTTAATGGTGGCCAGTTACCACAGCCACCTCATTCATCCTCCCCTCCTACCAGAAACTCTCCATACACACACACAGGTAACTTTTCCCTTTCTCTTTGAGCAGTTTATAACACTCTATTCAGCC